CCCTCCCTTCCTCCTCCACTTCTCTCTCTCTCTCTCATTGGGTTTGCTTCTCTAAAGAACCCAGCCTAAGCCATTTTGTGAGAAAGCAGCTTAACTGGCTGGGTCAGGTGAAAGCTAGTCTGCATACACAGGAATGCACAGACTATAACGGAAAACCTGTATTGGGTTTGAGAATCTTCAGCATTATCCCATAACAACTTAAGCGTGAAGCCAAAATACCAAATCCACTTACCATATATACTCGTGTATTAACCGAGTTTTTCAGCACGTTTTTTATGCAGTTTTTGTGGTAAAATTAGGTGACTTGGCTGATATTCAGGTCAGCTTATACTCGAGTATATACGGTACCTAAATCTTACAAATTGCTGCTGCTAAAACTTGGTGATATAGGATTCTATACTCAAAGCTTTTTTAAGACTTGCAGGTCAGGAGAAATCAGTCAGAGGTCAGATTTAAAGTATTTCTTTTAAACAGAATGCACTAAAGAAAATCTTTAAGAAGATATTTTAAAAGGCATTAAAGAAGATCTCAGAAATATGTTGACACGACTTTTAGACCCTCTTTTAAAGCTGAATTTCTTCAACCATGGAACTCGAGTCAGCAAAAACTTTATAAAGGGCGCAGAAAGTAAATTGTGGCTTTGATATGATCTCTATCTCAACTCCTTACAGTGCTGCTGTCACTGCAGCGTGAAGGCAGCCAAGACAGTATGTAAACAAATGAACATGGTCTATTCTAATAAGATTTTATTTACAAAAGCAGATGATGGGCTAGATCGGGCCTAGTTGGCCAACACCAGTCTAAATGAAGCTGGAGAAGAAAGATACAGGGGGTGCAGGGAATACGATAATTTCCTTCTACAGAGAGATACTAGTAAAAAGAAATAGAAATAAAAAAACACAAGATGAGCTCAGCCAGTTAATCTTTTTATTTTTAAAAAAGAAAAAGCTTTGAGGGAAAAATAGTTAGATATCAGTAAAGTGCAGGAAACCGCATGGATAGCTTTCACAATATCAATCTAAACATATACACAAAGGCAAATATTAAGTAAAACGATAGGGAAAGATACCACGCTGGGGGCCTAACTGCAGTTTTCCTTATTGCACAGCACAGTTATAGATAACTCCAGATTTTCACAGTTTAAGCACACTGTTTTTTAAAACCACTGTTAGTTCCTGTTGAATGGAGAGAACAAAGTTCGCCCCATTTATTTTATGCACACACTATAGAAAGTTCCCCAGAAGATCACATCACCCCATGTTAAATCCATCCAATTCTATTTTTAGAAATGGCTTTTTAGCTGCTCCATGAATCCTGGTGGGCTTTCCCCTTACTTCATAATTGTAATAGATATAGCAAAATGTCCTAAGTGAGAAATACAAGATGTACTTTCTGTATAAATAAATAAATAAATAAACACGACAACTTCGGAGGAGCTGACCCTAATTTGAATGGTTTCAGAGAAAGGCCACCCACGTGCATAGACATGACCTTCAACACAACTGAACATCATTCCTCTACCTCTCCAAATAGAATAATTATACCAAAAGTCATCTTGCAAACATCTGTGCCGTTAGACTACCACCGAGGACCACTTGGGTCCTTCGTCTTGGTAAGTGCTTTTGAGAGCAGCTGTTGAATTCTTCATGCTTACAAGTCCTTTTCTGAGCTCCTCCAACATGTACAGGTCCAGGTCATTTTCCACTGGCTGAGAGTCGATTTTATTTTGATGTTTGGCAATTCTGTTATTTTGTTTGAAAGTAGCCATTAAAATGAGACAGTGATCCCCCCTGTGTGCACTCGTGTCTCTTCAGACCCTTACAGAAGGTGCCAGAGCATCCTCCCTGCCTTCCTTCTATGGGAGTTTTCTGTCTGCTTGGGTAGCAGAAAACTGGCTGCCTATTTATTCCATCTGGGTCACTCTGCTTATAAAAATAAAAGTAACATCAAAAGCTTTGGTTTTTCTCTTTACACTATTGACTAACATGGAGTGAAAAAATAAGATGTGTTTGCTAAATAAAATCTGTCTGTGAAAATTGACACTGGGAAAAATGGTTTATTTCTATATCTTATTTCAAAAGATTGTCCCCCCCAAATCTAGATTTATTACTAGTTAGATATTAGTTTTGGTTCCTAAAGTATTTCACTCAATAATTATTCTTATTAGATTTTAGAAAAGAGGAAGTTGTTTTCAAGTATCGAAGTGTTAAAGCAACAGTCAGATGGGTCCTTTTTAAAAATATAACTCTTGGCTTCCAGATACCTTCAATTTACTATATTAGATACTGGCAAGCCAGACTCTTATTCTACAAACAACATAAAAGATCAGAACTAATTTAATCTAATGTATTTCCCAGAATGACTTCTGTAGTATCTATGAATCAACATCCAAAAGCAGATGTGAAACTTGTCAAGTCCCCCACTTCTGGAATGGAATAAGAAGTCATACTTATTAAAATAGCAAGCTGCTTTTCCAATAGCCCACCTAATTCCTGATCACGTTTTACAACAGATCGTCAGATCAACTTTCTGACATACCTTTTAGAATTCACAGTGGGGAGCAAGATAGGCTTCCAAGCGGGTGATTTTTACCTTTGAGGCGTAACTTAATTGCTCCACCATTGGCCTTTCCTACGGTGAACCAGTGGTGTTTCTAGAGTTGGAAAACACTTGTTCACACTGAGTGTCTGACAAGAGTACATTAGCTTCCACTGAGGACAAAGAAGAGGTATGATGGGGGGAAGATAGCACACAGAACAGACCGGGACTTTCAATGCAATTGCAAGTCTTTGTCCTAGTTGAAATATGCGTGGGTAGCTGAGAGGACACTTTTCACATTGTTTAAAGAGATGTCATTTGTCAGACAAAGGGCATTCTAAGGTGGACAGAACACAGCCTAAAGAGCTCCCTTGCTGTTTGCATGATGAAATATTTGATGTCACAGTGTGACTTTTGGCTTCAGGGCATTCGTGCTGATTTGTCTCAGCACATTGGTAAGCACACTGGCTAGTCAAACTCCCTTTAGTTATAGATGCCTAGAAGAAATGCTGCCTTATATAAATTCCAAATTTCCTTCTCTAAAAGAAGTTTAGGTTCCCTTATCATCCCCCCCAAAGAGTATTACTTTGGGCATTCCCTCGGTCCGTGCTATTCAACAGTCTTCCTAGTTACTCCCTTCTGATGCCGATACCACCATGTGGCAGCAACGCAGTCCCAGCCTCCCCCTGGACACGGGACCTCTTCCCTGGAGCAAATGGGCCCGTCCTTTATTCGGAGGAAATCCAACACGGATTTAAACATGGGGATCTGTGGGGTCTGAAGAAGAACTCTGACTACAAGGGGACGATTTATTTGATTCCAGATTAAACTGAAAATCGAGCTTCCTAGAAATCTTCATGGTATTTATTAGTTAGTAGCCCAGTTAAGACAAAAAACCCAAACAAACCCTTTTTTCCACAATGAGGACAGGTTGTAAATTTATATATATATATATAAATCACCCTTCTTTCTCTTTAATGTGAGGTTTTTAAACCGTGATTTTTTTAGTTGCACTTTATGGAGGATTTTCTTCAAAGCGTCCCTATTATTGACCAAGACAGTTTGTTTCACATGACAATTGTTTTAAAGCCCTAACTAACTAAGCCTTTCCTTTAAATAAGGCTCCAGAGCCCACTGCAAGCTCTCTACCAAAGGCTCTCAACTCTGCCTTCCCATTACACTCTTCTGAGATTCTCCAACCAAATATGGATGCCCAGATCCCAACCCAAACTCACTATAATCAGAAATGCTGGCAGCATACCATTGCTTGGTATTGAGGGTGGGTGGGTGGCGGGAAGTGGCCAGAGTTGAGAACCTCTGTTCTAGAGCATTAAAGATTTGAAAATCGCCTGCTATCCTCCCCTTTCCCCCACTCAGAACAAATATGTCTATAGAGTGACTTTTTTATTAGCTCAGAAGAGGAACTTTGCTTAGTGGAAGGTACCATTAACCATCCGTTTCTATCTGATTTTATGCAAGACTGGTAGCAGGGAGTTTGTTTTGAATTAAATGGTTTCTGGGATTCATGGTTTTCTACTCGTCTCCAACTTAAACATCATGCTTCTAGATGAAGACTTTGGATGAATGGATTTATCTTCTCAGGACTTCTTAAAAGGTCAGGATCATTCCTCACATTTTACCAACAGAAAATAAAATGATTGGTCAAGATTCCTTCCTCTTATCCAGTGCATAGAAACCTAGCCACTGCCAAGGAGCCAGTTCTGCTTCCTAGCAACCCCGTCGAGCAGTGTAGAACTGACCCTTTGGGATTCCCCAGGCTTCTAAATCTTTAGAGGAGCAGAGTCTCATCTTTCTCGCACAGAGCAACTGTTAACTGCAGTTAGCACCTTCAACGAGTAACCAATGACGCCATGGGGTTCCTCCTACTGAATAAAAGGCCCAATCAAGCAACTACAAGCCCAGCCTACATAGATGTATGGCTCAGAATAAAATGTTTGGCAGTCCATGAGACCTAAAGGAGGTAAAAACAATAATGTAAGGATTGATCGAAGATTAGGATTGATCGAAAATAACTCAGTGTTATTTTTCCTTTTTATGAAGGTAATTTCTTATAATTTGCTGTAAGTTTCTTAGGAAACCCAAATGACAATGAACCCTTGAGGTTAGTGGAAAGAGGATGCACCTGCCTGGTTGGCTCTTTTCGAGAACCAGCATCAGCTTCTTCATTCTGAGATTCATAAAAATACGCAACATATGAGATAAGCAAGCCTTTACAAAGAATCCACCCAAGAACCAACTACTCCATCAAGAGAAAGAAAAAAAAGAAAGATCTTACTTTTTAAGTTTATAGAGAATAACTGGTCTTGACTAAGATAACTCTACTAAATAAAAGACCTGCCCAGCATACATCCCCCCGGCCTCCAGTCTTCTGTTAACTCTGGCAGCTGCTGTGTGCAGCCTGAAACCCATTGCTAGTGAAACGATCCCAGTCCGTCAAACTCACAGACTTTCCGAGCCTGTGATACTTACAGAAGCAGATCACCAGATCGTTTCCATTGGGGAGAAGCTGGTGGGTCCAGACCACCAGCCTTTCAGTCAACCACTGTGCCACCAGAACTCCTGTCTGCAGGCTGAGACCACACCCTAATCAATTCTCTCCCAGGCACTCTCTAAGAAAGCCATTTCCCTGGCTGGACATCACAGGCCTTCTTAAGTCCTTCATTAGGCCTCATGAAGTTAGGCTGTTTAACTGTTTTCAAATTTACAAAGCCCAAGAGCAGGCGTCCTCAAACTGTGGCCCGCGGGCCACATGCGGCCCGCTGAGGACATTTATCCGGCCTGCTGGGTGCTTTTGCCCCGTTTTGTTTTTCACTTCAAAATAAGATATGTGCAGTGTGCATACAAATTTGTTCATAGTTTCTTTTAAAAAAACTATAGCCCGGCCCTCCAACGGGTCGGAGGGACAGTGAACAGGCCCCCTGTTTAAAAAGTTTGAGGACCCCCGCCCAAGACGATCATAAAATTTAAAAAATGGACTTTTTTGCAGATAGACAGGAAATGGGAGGCAGCCTGATAGAAAAGTCATTCAATTATATTGAAGTATATGAAATTTCCGTTTCTGTTTTCAAAACTGATTGGGCATCAACACTCTTCTACAGCCAAGCCCAATGAATCTTTCTTGGTTCACATAAAGCCATACAGTGTAAAGCAATATCTTATTAAAAATGAGTTAGGAGGATTAAATGTCTGATTTCATCATGGGTGTATTTGATTGGTACACTATTTTGTCTAATAATAATAGTAAGAAAACAATGATCACATGTTCTGAGAGCATTTTTTTTCATTGGGTGGCCAAATGTGATCGCACTAATGCATACAGGTATGGGGAGAAACCCCACCTTTCCCCACAATTCTCAGTAGTTCACCTGCTACAGGTAAAGACAGGTATTCTAGCTTATCCTGAAATAACTCAAACTAAAATTCAATAAATGAATTGCACTTCACCCACCCATTAAGCTGATGCAGCCTCCCCAGATACCCAGCACATTAAGCTTCTCAATATGGCACTCAGTGGCGTGAAGACACCTGGATTCTTAAAGAGTGTTTTCATCTCAGGGTACCCCTCCCCCTAACTGGTGGCATATTGAACTTTCCATGGACTCCCCTGATTCCTCAGGCAGCCACTGAAGTCGAATTCATCAGCTCAAAGTTTAGACTTCTATCCAATCTTCAGAACACTACCTTGCATTCTCTTTGCAGTTATGGATTTATTTGTTTGCTGTGAGAGCTCTTTCCGTTAATATAAGCCTGTACTTCTTGGGTTGAATAAGGCATCCCATAATTTTAGTGTAATTTCTAAATCCACAGTGGAGATCTGTCCTATTAAAAATTTGTCCTGTCCTATCCTAGGGGCCAAATTTAGACCTGAAAGTGTCACTTCCTCTGATGGCTCTCAAGGGTCAGATTCTTTTTGCAGTGTTATCATCAGCGGTTATTGTCCAAATACGTTCTGGCCTCAGATTCATTTTTAAAAATCAACAGCGTAATCCTTTTGCCTTTAGTTTTAAACATTTCAGTAACTACTTCTCTGTGGAGATTTCCAGAGAACGAACCACAAAGATTTCACCCATGTTGAAATGGTCACGGATAAGATTTTCCAGTTTTAGTCCAGCGGGAACAGAGCCGGCCTGACAGCCAGGAGGACTGATGCCAGGTTGCAGTCCTACAGCCTTTGTCTCTCGAGCCTCGCGCAAGTTGTCCCATGTTTAACACCAGTTTCCCCCCCTCCTTGGAGGCGCAACCTCAATTGCTTTCCTTTGTGATTTTTCTCCTAGCCTGTTCTCCCCTAACTTCCCCTTCTACAGCCCCAGCTAGACTGGCGCTGCCTTGTATTAACATGAAGCCTCTCCTGGGAGGAATTCACAACACCTGCCTCACCTCCTTCAGATACTGCAGGTGAATGCATTAAGAGATTGTTACAGCATGCTTTGTGTCGGTTTGTTTAACTCAAATTGCATACTACTATGTGAAAAAGTGAGAATAGGGTGGCATTTGTCTTGATTTAGAAACACTGGAGCCCCACCGTTTCCTTCTGGGTTAAATTGTAAAGGTTAAGATTATCTTCAGACCCCATTCAAATAGAAGCATTAGTTCAGTTCCGTCAAGACCCCACCTCAAACAACACTGGGCCCTGTGGCCATCCTCACCCACCGGTGGGCCTACCCCATTGCTTCAGAGGCGGGGGGAAAGTCATGCATTATCTTCCAGAGGAAACACTAAGCGGGTGCCCCGGCTGGGAATCTTCTGCTCCTCCATTCCCAGGTCTCGTTCCAGCACTTCCTCGGAGCTGCTCTTGGTTCTGCGGCTGCCCTCAAGGCTCCTAGAGGTTGTGTGGGAGCCTGAGGAGCCATTCGCAGTCACTGTGCTGTCCCCGTAGGTCAGAGTGAGGTCGCCTTCAGTCAGGATGAAATCGGAGTCTTCCTCTCGCAGTGGCTCTTGGTTCTGAAAAGGGCAACCAACAAAACAAATGGGAGACTGCTGCTATATGCCAGAGCCAACCCCAGCCCCAGCCTCTCATCTGAAAACTGGAGTTTGATCACAAACGGCTGCCGTGATAACTGGATATAAACCACAGGCCGCCATGCGGTGTAAACCACTGTTGCTTGAACTAGAAGTTCGAATACCGAAGAGCAGTTCTGATTTCAAATGTGTCACAGAGTGGCTTTAGGGACTGAAAGATAAAAGGGAAGCCAGACTGGTTTTTCTGGTTCCCAAACCAAAAAGTCTGGACAGGCTAAGGCTGCGCTCTCTCCTTTGGGCAGGTATCCTGAGTGGGTCCACTCCCTACATAAACCATCCTCCAAACCCAAAATTTGCTATCGAGTTGATGCTGACTCACGGGGACCCTATAGGACAGGGTAGAACTGCCTCTGTGAATTTCCAAGACTGTAACTCTTTATGGGAGTAGAATTCCCCATCTTTCTCCCAAACCATCCTCAACCCCCTCCCCTTATTTACATTTGAACTCGTCTTTGTCCTAGTTGGCAACTTGGGGAGAACAAACGAACATTTACGAATAAGATATCCTTCCAATTTTCCCTGTCTGATTCTCACAGAAAATACCCCTTCTGAAATTAGGGGATGCGTGTTGGGCTGCGAATTGCAAGGTCAGTGGTTTGGCTCCAATCCACTGGCCACTCTGTGGGAGAAAGACAAGGCTGTCTGTTCGCGTACAGCTCTCCAGTCTCTGGCCCCCTCTGCAGGGGCGCTATGTGGCAGAGCGGACCCAGGCTTGGTGTTGGTTCTCCCAGAACCAAAGCCTGAAGGGAAGTCGTCACCTCTAAGTCCTCAGGGAGAGAACAGAGAGAAATGCATGTTAGTGAGCCATCGGTTTTCGGGAGCCCTGGTGGCATGGTGATTAAATGTTCGGCTCTGAACCAAAATGTTGAAGTGGCTGAATGCGCCAGGGGCTCGGCGAAGTGAAAGATGTTGCCATCTGCCTCCCTGAAGAGAACCAACCAACCCAGAGCCATTGCTGTTGAGGCGATTCCAATTCAGTGATGCCCTATGACAGCAGGACTGCCCCATGCGGCTTCCAGGGCTGGAAGTCGCCACGACAGCACGTTGTGACATATTTCTCCCATGGAGCAGCTGGTGGGTTTGAACCACTGACCTGTAGGGTAAGAGTGGGGCACTTTAACTACTGTGCCACCAGGACTCCACAACCATATTTCTCCCATGGAGCAGCTGGTGGGTTTGAACCACTGACCTTTAGGGTAAGAGTGGGGCACTTTAACTACTGTGCCCCCAGGACTCCACAACAGAACTATGTCAGATGTGGGATTCAAATGGATGCCTCCCCTTTAGAGATGAGAAACCTCACCCAGAGCAAGCAGAAGCTTGGGTCTGGTGCCTTAGGCCACGTGGCCAGCCAGACACTAGCTATGAAGATTACAGTCTCAGAAATCCAAGGGGCAGTTCCACTCTGCCCGCATGTATCACTATGAGTCAGATTTGACTTGACTGCAATGAGTCCGTTTTATTATATGCTGGTCAGGAACACCACATAAGCTCTCATTTGATTTTTAGCCCTCCCTGTGCTGGGGGCAAACACTCTTTCCACAAAAAAGGCAACCTGAGCTCAGGGGAAAAAAAGAAAATCAAAACTTGCTACCATCGAGTTGATTCCAACTCATAGTGACCCTATAGGACAGGGTAGACCTGCCCCTGTAGGTATCCAAGACTGAAACTCCTTATGAGAGTAGAAAGCATCATCTTTCTCTCACAAAGCCGTTGGTGGTTTCGAACTGCTGACCTTGTGGTTCACAGCCTGATGCATAACCCACTACGCCAGATAACCTATAAAATCTGTCTGAGGTTGTCTGGCTGATGGGAAGCATAGTTCAGGTCTATGCTGCTTCCCGATTAGTTTTACCAACGTAAAGGATGTGATAACTCGCTGCAACCGACAAAGGCCCGGCATGACCGCAGTACTGCACCAAGATAGAGAAAACGGAATCAGGCAGGAGGCCTAGTGATGTCATGGTTACACACTGGGCTACATACCAGCCCCATCATGGGAGAAAGATGAGGCTTTCTACTTCCTTAAAGAGTCACATTCTCGAAAATCCACAAGGGCAGTTCTACCCTGTCCTGCAGGGTCACTGTGAGTCGCTAGTGAGTTTTGTTGTTCTTTAGCAAAGTCTCAGTATTTTGGACGAAAAGACAGTGTGAGCAGATTTAGAAAATAACATGAGATCACACAGAACTTTCACTTCCAAAGGATTTAACAAACAAGACAAGGGGAGGTCCCATAGCCCTGTCAATCACTATGGAATTCTTGAATCGCAAACACATACTTTCAACATGCTACAGGTCAAACTGCTCTTTCCTCTTCTGTTTGCCTTCAGCCCATCAACTCTCACCCAAATCCTGTCTCCTTGACACGACAGGCCCGATGCAGTCCAGGATGCAGAACCCACTGCCCTGACACCCAAGGCGTGCCCCCAAGCTCACGGCCTGAGGTCACTAGCGGAGTCTCGCATGTCAATGCCTGGACTCCCCATCTCGATTATTAATTAGCTCCGGGCAGGGACCTTGGTGTCTTCTTGGCACCCTTCGTTAAGTTAATTGTGCTTAACTTGCTAAATGAATGTTTAACACACCAATCTAGGGAGGAGTTCATGTTTACCTCACTCCCTCCCTTTCCAACCCATCTCTGCGCACGCACTGGTGACAAGCACAGGCTGTGTTCTGCATTGTTTGCCAGTGATGTCGACTTCTCCCCAGTCCACACCATGGGCACAGTGTGGCTCCACTGAACCAGTGCTTTGGCAATTGGAACATGAAAACACGCGACTCCTTTGGCTTGCTGCCTCACATCCTCGCTGGAATGTGGCAGGGTGCAAATGAACAATTAAAGTAAAAGCCTGGACTCAGGCCAGCATGTAAAGGACAATTCTAGAACTCACTCCAAACTCCCCAAGTTCCCTCTTTTCCATCTGTTTTTTAGAAAGTCCTGAAATTCAATCTGCTGTGCCATAGTTTTCTTAATAACAAATGATGTCATGTGCCCATTTTCAGTTTCCAACTCGGGGTTGGGGGAGGGGTGGGTGTGATCCTTCTTTCCTGTTCTGGAACGTCTAATTTCTCATGTTCATACATGAGCTAAGTGATGTTTTGGTCCAGAGCCTTTGCCTCTCTTGACTCTCAATTTTCCAGGACACTATTCTAGCATGGATTTGGGGTCTGTCGCCATGTTTGGAGCCACAGAAGGGGAGAGAGGAGTACAGGAAAACTGCATATGATTTGCAAATGGTAATTCTGCAAAAGGAGAGAAGTTCCACCCCAATTTCATGGAGGAAACTCCAGGGAAATACATTCTCGTGTGGTTTTCTCTGATTCCTTACAGTGATAGGCCAGGCCAAATCCAGTGACAACAGAAACCAAATTTGATGTCGACCTATTCCACTTAAGAAAGTCACAAGTCCAGACAAATGGTATATAAGGCAGGGTCATTCTGAAACAAGGACATAGTAAAACACAGTGATGAGTGATTGCCAAATCAAAGTCTTACTGAGTGTCATAAGAAAATTATGAAGCCAACTCACACTCCCATGTCAGAAGACAGGATCAAGAGTTTTGCTAAACTAAAAGTCTGCATATGAGCACAACTACCCTTCCAGCAAAGGATGCTAGGAAAATGTAGTGAGATAACCCTGACCCCCCCTGCAAGCAAGAGTATGGTGAGAAGATGTGCATTTTACACAAGTCAAATTCAACCATCACCTGTCTGTCAGTGGGTTATACTGTAGTGGTGGCTTGTGTATTGCTGTGATCCTGAAAGCTATGCCACTGGTATGATTTCAAATATCAGCAGTTTTCAACAGAACTTCCAGATTAAGAGAGAATAGGAATAGAGGTCTGGTGATCTACTTCAGAAAATTAGCCCATGAAAACCGCCTGGATCACAAGAGAACATTTCCAATCCACTTGGACACATCAAGAAGAGGGATCAGTCACTAGAGGAAGAAAACATGTTTGGTGAAGTGAAGGAGCCAGGAGGAGGGGAAGCCTCAGTGAGATGGATTGGCACATAGAGCTATCATGATGGACTGAAAAATACGGGTGATTGTAAGAATGATGTAAAGTCTCTTGTATATGAGTTAAGCAGACAGCAGGTATCTATCAAATCCATGTAGTTTAGAGATGGTGGAAGTAGTGGACTCCTAGCTAGCTCCAACATAAGCTTGGTCAAATTAAAAAATGCCCCAGGGTGATGGGTAAGAGCCACACCAATGTGTCACACAGCCATGAGAACTGTACCATGACTAACCTCTACAAGGACTCCCTCTACCTCTCTCAACCTGGCTTCTTCAAGTACTGGCCATTTTAAAAAGCCTTTGCTCCCACCCTCAACAGCAGACCTCAAGCAGTGTGTCTGGAGCTGCCTTAGAACTTGGTCAGGACCCCGGCCCAAAGCAGAAGCAAGTTTGCTTGTAGTTCCAATCTTATGGAAAGGCCACAGATCAAATATTACTCCAGGCAGGAAACCATGAGTTGTTTCTCAAACTGGTGAGTTCAAACCGGTCTGTTGTTCAGTGCTGTCAAATTGGTTCCACCTCACAGCTACCCCATGTACAACGGAACAAAACCCTGTCCCGGTCCTGTGTCATCCTCACAATTATTGTTACTTTTGAGCCTACTCTTGCAGCCACTGTGTCAGTCAACCTCACTGAGGGTCTTCCTCTTTTTGGCTGACACTCTACCAAGCAGGATATCTTCCAGAGACTGGTCCCTCCTGATAACATGCCCAAAGTACATTGAGAAGAAGTCTTGCCATCCTGTCTTTTCAGAGGCATTCTGTGCACTTCATAGGGCAGCACTGAAGCTACAGCTCAGGGAGAGGGGCATTGCTGATCAGAGCACACAAGAGCAAACGAATAGGAAAGGAGAGGGAGTGGAACACATCCTGGCCCACCAAGCGCCAAGGCCCGTATTCCTGCTCAGAGCAGCCAGTGCACAGAGAGGACCATTGGGCTGGCCCCACCAGGAGACATGACATCCCTCACTGGCCCACAGTGCTACGAGGGACAACACTGGAGACAGAGTGCAGGAACTGTGCCTAATCTGACCCCATCACACCGGGGTGAAACACTGAAGGTGTGCAACAGAGCAGCAAGGGAAGCAAAGCAATGAAGTCCCCAGAGAATACCAAAAATAGACTTTGGGGCCAGAGCGTGGCACCCCATCAGACTCGACCGGAAAACACTCCTAAAGGTCAACAAACCGACTTGGAACTATTGGGGTTTTTTCGGTCTTTGTTTGTTTGTTTGTTTGTTTTCTTTTGTTGTTTTGTTTTGCTTTGTCTTGCTTTTGTGCTTATTACTGGCTCTACATGTATATCTAGATAATATAAGTGGGATAAACAATCTGGAGGAGAAAACAATGGGACAGCTGGTTCTGGAGGGACATAGAAAAGATGGGAGGCGGGGGAAAGGAAGAGGGGTGTCAACAAACCCAGTAGCAAGGGAACCACACGTGATCTAAAATCAATGGCGAGGAGGGCACAGGATGCCTGGTGGGTTTTGATCAAGGGCAATGTAAGCTGAGAGGAATTACTGAAACCCAAATGAAAGTCGAACATGATAGTGGGACAAGAGGAAAGTAAAAGAAAATAGAGGAAGGAACTAGGAGGCAAAGGATAATTATAGACATCCAAATACAGGTATGTACATATGTAAATATATTTTTATATAATGATAGGGAAATAGATCTATGTACTTATATTTATATGTTAAGTATTAAGGTAGTAGATGGACATTGGGTCTTGACTCAAGTACTCCATCAACGCAAGAACACTTTGTTCTAATAACCTGGCATTCTGTGATGCTCACCTTCCCAACACAGTCACTGAAGACAAATGTAGTGAAGAAAGCTGATGGTGCCCGGCTATCAAAAGATATATCCTGGGGTCTTAAATCCTTGGAGATAAACAAGCGGCCATCTAGCTAAGAAGCAACAAAGTCCACATGGAAGAAGCATACCAGCCTGTGTGATCAGGAGATGTTGATGGGATCAGGTAGCAGGCATCAAAGACCCAGAACAAAAAAAATCATATCAATGTGAATGAGTGGGAGACTCAAAGCCCATCTTTAGGCAATTGGACATCCCTTACAGAAGGGTCACAAGGAAGAGACAAGCCAGTCAGGGTACAGTGTAGCACCAATGAAACAGACAACTTTCCTCTAGTTTAATGCTTCCTTCCCCCCACTATCATGATCCAAATTCTACCTTACAAGTCCGCTAGACCAGAGCATGTACACTGCTACAGATAAGAGCTTGCAACACAAGGAATCCAGGACAGATAAACCTATCAGGACCAATAATGAGAGTAGCGATACCCAGAGGGGAAGGAGAAGGTGGGATGAGAAAGGAGGCGTGGGTGAAGGGAGACAGCGGATGGTGTAAGACATGGAAAAAAATGTATAAATTATCAAGGGCTCATGGGGTAAGGGGGGATGAGCTGATAAGGGCTCAAGTAGAAAGAAAATAAATGTGCTTGACACAATGGGCGTGTGTATGGATTGTGATAAGAGCTTTACAAGCTCCCAATAAAATGATTTTTTTATAAAAAAGAAGCATTCTGACTATACTTTTTCCAAGACAGATTTGTTTGTTCTTCTGAAAATCTATGGTATTTCAATATTCTCCAACTAGACAAGGAATCCCTAATTCATGAGCCAAGGAACTTTCACAAAAGTCCAATTCAAAAGCTTTAATAACATTTTAATACATTATGTCACTATTATAGAGAAATGAGGGAGGAAACCAAGCTATCTGCCACATAGGACAGAGTCCAGCTGTCCTGTGGGATTCTGAGGCTGTCGATCGTTATGGGATTCATCTTTCTCCTAAAGAGCAGCTTGTGTGAGAACCACCTGCCTTATGGTTAGGAGCCCAACATATAACCTACTATGCTACCAGAGACATGAAAAGTGACCCTTACTAGAATTTAGGAAGATGGAAGGCTTTAGGAATTCTTTAAAAGAGACTAGCACTAGAAGACAAGCATGTAAATGCAATGAAACAGGGCTTCCTCAGTGGGAACTTCATTAGTGGAAGAAGTAGCAATGCTAAGTCAGCACCCTTTGTCTCGGATGATAAAATACATGTCACTTAAGACAGACATCAAAACTGAACAAACTATTCAGAACTCAGAATAAGACAATTTTTATTCAGGAAGCTATTAGCAGGATGGGCAACTCTAAAATGAAGTTTGCAGCTTTCTGGCACAGGTAGCAACTAGCACTATGCTGAAGCTGATAGATATTAAGTTACATTTTGAAAACTTACCACATGTATTAAAGATTACTTTTAATAACAGAAATTCAAGGAAGGAGCTGGGGGTGCTGGAAGGCTCAACTAACTTTAAGAAGATGTTAATGCTGGTCCCCATTCTATTTGGGCATAACTCCATTTTCACCAAGCAAACCTTGCTCTCCACAGCAGCCCAGTGGTGCTTGCATGTGTAAAGTTCTGTGACTCCCCACCAGGCTGTTGCAACTGGTGACTTGGCAGTTATCATCTAGGAGAAAGCACATGCCACTCACGAAGCTGAAAGCTCAGATCTTAGGTGCTCAGATGTGGCTGCCCTCAGCATTTCAGACAGCCCACTACTCCCAGTGCCCCTTCCCAGCTGATACCCACCCTTTTGTACCACTTTCGAACGCAGAACCGTTATGAACTCTTCCACCCAAAATAAGAACTGGCTCACTTCTGTGCAGCCCTTCTCTCTCGAATCTGGGCTTTGCACTCTGCTTTCTTATCACTAAACTTCACGTTAGTTTCTAATTACCAAAAGATTGGCATGAGGGTCCAAGTACTGTCAATTATTAATTGTGAGACCATATTAATCACAAGATGCATAAGATAGTAGAAGAGAGATGGTCCTTCCGTATTTGCTCTTTGCTCTTCTTGCTCCCTGCCCTTTAACCTGGAACACTAGTCAGTCCTAGTGCTAAAAACTTCCACGAATGTGGTTATTCCTTTTATACTGTGCCAAGTCTATTTCTAGAGACTGAACATTTAAATCAAGAGCTAACCACATTAACATAAATAATTTATAAAAATCATCCTCACACTTATGAATTGCTTCTGTATTTCACAGTGTAATCTTACATACCTTAATGTTCACTACTAGGCCTATTTTACGGATTTAAAAAAATTGAGTCTCAGTGCATTTAAATATGGCCTGTCGGAGATTAGGTTAAAACTACTTGTTCTGATTCCAAATCAATTGTTCATCTGATGTTGGAGAGCACTGGAAATCTGGTTTAAAAGGTTTCTCTATTACTGTGCAAAATATATAAACATAGTAGATTTGCTATTTCTAATCATTTTATTAGAGAAGAAAAATGTGCGGATTTAGAGGTATGAGTGCAACCTTCTTAAATAAGGAATTATCTGGTATAGCAATTAGAGATGCAACTTGGTATACTGTACTTACGTTATACACCTGGGGACTCGTCAGACATCGAGCCAGCAAGCCACACCAGGCTGGGAGAGTGGTAGTTAATGGGGGGCCACTGTGTGTGAGGATGGGCTTCAAATAACTTTTAAAAGGAATTAAGGAAAAAGACCTGGGAAGGAAACACATACCCAACAAATTGTGTTTTTAAAAATCAGAGTAAATTATCCAACATACTCTCTCCATAAGAAAAAACAAAAACAGAAAACTTCTTTCCCCTATTTTAGCAGGACAATACAGACAAATATTTCTAAGGGCAATCTGAAACAGTTTGAACCCAAGATTTAAAAATGTCCCATCAGTTTTAAATGTGAACTGTAAAATCGCAAGTTGATGATTTCTAATTTTCAATTGAAAAAGAATAGTTGATTAATTAGAACATTCCTTTTCCTTCTATGGTTATATTGAATCAAAGTTTTTCTTTCAAATCAGTATTCCTGATTTTGACCCACAACCAATTCACAGAAGATAGTGTGCCCAGAGGTGAAGATGTTCCAGCTCCTGTGTCCTCTCTGGCCCTTGTTCTCAGTCAAGTATTCCCATGAAAGCATACTACCCAGAGTGTACACAGTGGAACTGGATCACAGACCTCTCCGTGTTCCGGTAATGAAGTACTCAGAAACAGATTGCCACAGCCTAACCCACCGGTGGTTCCGAATAAGAAAAATGTGACCACCTATTTCCATAAAGATTTGTAGCCTCGGAAACCATATGGGGCAGTTCCGTTCTGTCCTCCTGAGTGGCCATGAGTCAGCATTGACTGTACCATGATGGGTTTGTTCATTTGTGTTGCCTTTCGACATATGGGCTGCATAAGTCTTTGTTGCTGGGGCTGCCCTGGGAGCTGTGGTCTGATGTTTAGCAGTGTACCTGGTCTCTCCCCATAGTGGCAGTAGTCAAAGTTGTCTTCCAGCGTGCTAAATGCTGCTGCAGCTGGGGGAAGTGGAGTGGGGACAAAAAGCATCCTTGGTTGAAAAAAAAAAAGCTGTTCTAATATGAAGATCAACTGAATTGTGGAAAGCTCAGGGTGAGCCTGTGAATATGTGTGCTGCCAATTGCACAGCTACACTGTGACAGAGCTGGGACAATTCCTGAGTACCCTAGCCTAAGTAATATGGCAAAGGTGGAGATATTTAATGATAAGAGCGGTCACATGACTTCAGAGGAAGCTGAGATAGCCATTAGAGTACCCAAGAAGGTAATTGTTTCAAATACCACCACTTCCCGTCTTCATTCTAAGAACAAGAGGAAAGCTTTATTTGCAGAAGGTGGTGAGAAGGAGACACTGGGCTAAATTCTGAGTTGGGAATTGCTCAACAAAACCAGAGAGCTTTACAAATGGAATCAGCTGCCCTCTGGCTCCTGTCCTTCAACCACACCTCCAGCCTGGGCGCATTTGGCAACAGCGCCTACAGGCCCTCCCAGCCAGCTTGTGTCTTTAGCTCAGAAGATGGCCTAAGCTTGGATTTGTAGAACGATTGATGCTAGAGTCCCAGGGGGAACCCAAAAGGCTACTTTTCAGTTCTTGCCTCAAGCAGCTGAGCAACTTCTCCATATAGAAGCTCTCTAAAAGCTTCTCTTAAAGAAATAAATAGATGAGTGGGTACCGTATATGTGTATGTTGTGTGTATTAATATCTGTCTACCTATCTCTATCAGTATTTTAATATATATATGCAAGTTGATGGAAGGGCATAAAACATCAAGTCTCTCTCTCACACCCCAGTTGCCCTGGTAATTACCATAACAACTTAATATATTTTCTCCTATTGCTTAATTTATCAACTTTTGTCAGAGACTTTCAGTTCTTTCCTGAGGGATGGAAAATTTTACTCATTAGCCCTCACTACTGCCTCTTTTTTTTCCCAAACAAATCTATTCTTTTCCAATTATTATGGAAGCCATCCTCTCTGCTTTTTCAATTAAGCCTACATGTTAGAAACCAATAAGTAACATCTGCAATAATGTTGACCAATATATAAGCCTTCATTGTAGGGCCAAGCAGAGTGGATAGAGTAATACTTAAAAAAATTAAAAATACAATTTCATTTAAACTTTGGTCAAAGGCGAATCTCTAGGTATCTTTCTGAAGAATGAATCTTCCTTTATTTATTTTTTTTAACTTTGTTCACTTCTAGATTATAAATCAGTTTCCTCAATACCGCCCCCTTAGTTGCATTTGGTTTTGTTACTTATTTTTGAACATTCAACTGTGGTCTGAGTGAAATTTTACAGGGAAACTTCATTTCCCATCCAATAACTTAAGAGACATTTGTTTTGTGACCTTAGTTACAATCCCTTGACAGTAACACCACTCTTCCCACATACTCTCTGGGTTCCTTGTTTCCATTTGCTCATCTTTCCTGCTCCGTTTTGCCTTCTCAGCTTGGCATTTGGGCAAAAACTGCCATTTTGGTCCTGTAGGTTGGTTACCTGTGGTGAGGAACAGGTTCGCTATGGGTGGTTTTGTTCCCCTACAGGCTTGTCTATTTTTCGGCTGAAAGGTGATCTCTGAGAGTGGGTTGACCTCCAGGTTTGAAAGTGTTTAAGGGTTTCATCTCATGGGTTCCAACAATCTCTGCCACAAGAATGAGTAAATCGAATTTTTTAATGAGTTCAAATGTTGTTCTGAATTTTTTCTCCCATTGTATCTAGTACCTTCTATTGGGATCTCAATCAGAGCAGTCAGTAGTGGTAGCTAGGTACCATCTAGTAGTTCTTCTGGTCTCAGGCTGGTGGGGGCTGTGGTCTTTTAATAATTAGTCTTTGGACTAATTATTAAAGTTTTTGCTTTTCTTCATTCTTCGTGGCTCTGGATGGGCACTCGTAAGTTTATTTTTTTAACTTTTTTATTATGAATTAAGTGAAGGTTTACATTTCAGATAATCAACTTTGTATTTAATAACTTAAACGATTTACCAATCCTCCTGCCATCATCAAAGATAATTTGGGTATGAAAACCTTTGTCTTGGGTTTTCCTTTATAACAAGGATCTCATGCAATATTTGTCCTTTTGTGCTCACAGGCTTTTCAGACTCCAATTGCTACTCATCAAAGGAAGGTAAAGAATATTGTCTTTGTGGACTAACTTATGTTGGTTGACCTAGTATTCCCCTGAGACTATGGTTCGAGTCCCTCAAGCCTAGTGATTCAGCCCCACAAAGTATTTTAGTTGTGGATTAAAAAGTTTAAATAATTTTGCCCCTGTATGCTTTACCATATTCATGAATATATCTGCATAAAATATAAATTCAGATGTAGAAGTATCCTGGCCTCGTTGTTTAAAAAAATCTATTCATATCCTCTGCCCTCTTTTTAATTGGATTATTTGTCTTTTTGTTATTGAGGGATTCAAGTTTTCTATAAATATTGGAGTTTAGTGCCTTTGGCAATACATCATTGCCAAAAATTGTTCCCCAGCCTGGAGATTCTCTTATTACTCTTCAGGTGAAATATTTTAATGCACATGAGTGTGTACGTTTTAGAAAGTGCCATTCAACCAGTTTCTCTTCTGCCATTTGTGTCTTTTTCCTTACATTTGCCAGTGTATTTATACCATGCCCCTAAGTTTGTCCTGATTTTTCCATTGATGATCTTTATAGTTCTAGGTTTTATATTTAGATCTTTGATCCTTCTTGAGTTTTTGCATATGGTATGAGAAATGTTAAAGAGACTAATTCTTCCCTGTTTAATGAGCTGTGATCCTTTGTTAAAGATCAACTGTCCATAAGTGAATGGATTTACTTCTGGGGTCTCAATTGTTTCATTGGCCTCCATGTGTGGTGTTGGTTTGTGTGGTCCTAGTACTAGGACCAGGCTCTTTTTACTACTATAGCTGTATATCAGATTTTGAGATCAGGAAGCGAGAAGCCTCCTACTTTGTTCTTGTTTAGCAGTGCCTATCCAGGTTTAGCAGTGCCTAAATAAGCAGTGCCTATCCAGGGCCTCTTTCATTTCCATATAAAAGTGGTGATTAGTTTTTCCATCTCTCTTAGAGAATGATGATGGAATCTGGATTTGGGATTGCATTATATCTGTAGATCACTTTGGGTAGTATTGACTTGTTTACAATGTTAAGTCTTCTTATCCATGAGTATGATATGTAGGTTGTCTCTTGGTTTCTTTCAGTAGTGTTTTATAGTTTTCTTTGTATAAGTCTTTTACACCCCTGGTGAGGTTTATTCCTAAGTATTACATCTTTTGGGTGGCTATTGTGAATGATATTGTTTCCCTGATTTCCTTCTCAGAGTTCTCTTTATTTGTGTAAAGGAATCTGGCTGACTTTTGTATACTTTGCCACTTTCCTAAATTCTTCTACTAGTTCTAGTAGCTTTCTTGCAGAAACTAGAATTTTCTATGTACAGGAACACATCACATGTAAATAGGGATAGTGTTATTTATAGTCTATCAAGTTGGATCCCTTTATTTCCCTTGCTAGCCTTATTGCTCTTGGTAGGACTTCCAGTACAAGACTGAATAAGAATGGTAATAAAGAACATCTCTGTCTGGTTCCTGTTCTCAAGAGAAATATTGTCTCTCTCCATTGAGAATAAAGTTGGCATTTGGTTCTGGGTATAAGGGTAAGTAATAAAATGTTGCTACTAGGGTTCCTATTCATACATGTACAGGTTTATTCTAAACAAAACATGTTTAAATGTGTTAGCTGCAGACAAGGTCTCTCAGTAATACACCTCTTAATTCCATTAGAGTGCCTTTAGAAGGGTTGGGGGGTGGGTGGGTGCTCAAACAAAAGAGTGGCTATCTGGGTGGAGCTTCTGGGCCAGTTAAATTTGAGGCAGACTTCATGAAGTGATCACCGAAGATATGGGTGCTATAGCAAAGTGTAGGGATGAAGTCAGATGGTTCCCAGCTGTCAGAAACAATAGTATCTAAGCATCTAAAGGCTTTCCTTAAAACATGCAGCCATCTAAGCCCTCATGAAAGAAACATACAAACTAGTGTGATCAAAGGATTATTAATAATAAAATCAACAATAAGAGAGGGGTTTGTATTAGAGCTTAAAATATGAGTGCTCAGTTTTCACACTATCGACAGTGAAAGCTCAAAATCTACTTGCTGAGTCTCCAAACAGATTGGGCCTCCATTGAATTCCCTCAGACCATAGACCAAGGATGTGAATAGTCTACTCCTCAGGCATAGGTGCACTAGAAAGTGGATTACTGCAGATATAATTAGGTTAAATTTAACACATTGTCAGTTGGTTTCCCTTTTGATTTATTTTTAATTTGTTCTAGTTTCTATTATCTTCTGCTTTTCCTTGGATTGAGGTCTTACTGTGTTTTATTTTGTTGTTGTTGGAGTTTTTGTCTGATTTTCTTTACATGAAATGCAGGATAGGTAAATCCAGAGAGACAATATCTAGATTCATGCTTCCTTAAGATTATGGCAGGGGAGGTTGTAGATTAGTGGGGTGCTAATAACAATGGGTACAAGAATGAAGAAAATGTTCTAAAATTGATTGTGCTGGTGATTGCAAGACTCTTTTCAATATATTTAAACCATTGTATTGTATAGTATGTGAATTATGTCCATAAAACTTAAAAAAGGTTCAAGGGAGATAAGTCAACTCAGAAAGTTATGGTGACTGTTTTGAGGTACTCCAAAGAGGTAATCTTAGATTTTCTCAAAGGACATAGGACAATCATGGAGGCTTATTATTTAGAAGTTTTAAAAGAAAATGGAAAACTGCATTGGTGAGAAAAAGGGCATCAAAATTGCACTAGGGAATTTTTTTTACATCATGACAATTCGCTTACTTACTTTTTAGAGTAGCAGGGGCAATCCCACGAGAATCTCATTGGGAAACCTTATGCCATCCAACCTACAACCCTGATCTTGTCCCTCCAGACTTCTTCTTTTCCCCCAAATCCAGAAGACCATGATTTGAATGAATCCTTCTACTCGTTGCTATGAAGTCAATGCTGACTCATAGCGACCCTACAGGACAGGGTAGAACTGATCCTGTGAATTCGAGACTTCACTGGAGTTGAAAGTCTTGTCTTTCTCCCATAGAGCAGCTGGTGGCTTTGAACTGCTGACTTTGCAGTTAGCAGTCCAACATGTAACCACTATGCCACCCCTCTAGAATGGAAAAATTGCCATTTTGACATGGTATCAACTGAAGTTCACAGAATTCTTCAGGGAAGGGTTAGAGAGATGGAAACACCACCTTTACAAGTGTATATTTCTAGATGTAGGCTGTGTTGATAAATAGTAGATTCACATTTTGATATTTTGGTTTAATAAAGGTTTCTATGGCTTTTTAGTAATACTTTTAGACTTATCCCTGCATATACCCTTAAACATGTTGAGAAGCTTCCCGTCTCTTCGGGTTTTCCTCAGGCTTTTACTAGGAAAGTGGGTTGGATTTTATCAAGTGCCTTTTCTGCATCAATTGATAGGATCATGTGGTTCTTCTCCCTTGTTTTGACTAGGTAGTGGATTAGGCTGATTTATTTTTTTAGATTGAACCATCCATGTGTGCCTGGTATAAATATCATTTAGTCATTATTTGACATGCTGTGGGATCCTCTTGGTAGTGATATTGTTGAGAATTTTTGCAACTATATACATGAGAGAGTGCTTTCGATTTTTCTTTTATCCTGTTGACTCCACCAGCAGAAATTATTCTCTTCATATGGAATACTTGCCCAAGCCCTACTTCTTTTTCTGATCACAGAATGGTTCATTGTATAATGCTCACTAATTCGCCTCCCAAGTCACATTTCTTCTATACACAAAGCTCTGAAGATCCACACGAGTCAACCAGGCTGTGGGTTTACTCCTCTATTGATCAGAAAATACTCCTCTTGGCCAGAGTGATGCCCAATAGGATTATTGTAGTTGAGTATGTTATACGTGCATGCCCCAGTTGGTACAGTTGTACCAAGCACACATCTTCCTCACTCATCAGACATCATTCTATTTCAACTGAAGAATTTAATCATCAATGTTTCTTGCATATTTTAATTAAAAGGATACTTGTGGTCAAAACTGTACCACAGCCTGAATATCCACGCACTCTCCTGCTTTGTCCGGTTTCCTCTGGCAGAATCTGGACCATCCTAGGAACAAACAAGAGGGCAAATGTTTAGTTGCAGAAAAGGTCCCTGGAAGAAAAGGGCAATGTTCTTTTGAACCGTAACTTTTATATACCAACAAAGTTTCCAAGATAAATTGAGGGATAATTTAGTAGAAATTGAACAAACTCAAAATGCAGGCACATTAACCCTTAAAGTTAGAAGGTTTGGTCATATTAGTGGGTAAAACTGATTCAATGCAGCACAAAATGCAAACTTTCCTTTTATATTCTATTGTCATTTTTCTCAAAGTAACTTTCATCAGATTATCCAAAAATAGTGTAGAACTTAATCTGCCCACATTTATTTATAGAGAAATTAAAGCAAGCTTCCATGAAACTGACTTTCTAGACCCTCCAGAGGTTGCCATAGAGAAGCCATGCCTTGTTGAGTTGCCTGACAAGCCAGACAAAAGTTCTCCAAGGTCCTTACACAGGCACCTACTTTGTGTTACACGGCACACTCGTTTGTTTCCCTATCAACTTTAATAAGGTCGAGTCAGTGGGCAGAAAACAGAGCCAGAGCCATTTTATCTACTCTCAGGTAGCAAGCTCCTTACTATTGTTTTCATACCTTTCTAATAAAAACAAAATCCCCATCGTTTAATTTCAAAAACAACCTGCAAAACAAGCATTCATTCAAGGTTTAGGAAATGTGTTTGTGCAAGTAGTAGAAATGACGAAATCAATACAAAAATTGGAATGGCTGTAGAAATTTGAGGGGTGGTATGGTGGATGATACGTTAACTGCAAGGTCAGTAGTTTGAATTCACCAGATGCTCCCAGGGGGCAAGATGAGGCTTTCTGCTCATATAGCGATTTATATCTAGGAAACTCAAAGGAACCATTCTACACTGTCCTTTAGAGTTGCTGCGAGGCAGCAGCGACTTGATTGATGGCGGTGGAGTTTTAAGGAGGCCTGGTGGCACAGTGGTTCTGCTGAGAACTAAAAGGATGTTGACTGAAAACTACCAGCAGCTCTGTGGGAGAAAGATGAGGCAGTCCACTTCCACAGAGGTGGCAGCCTCGGAAATCCTGTGGGGCAGCTCTCCTCTGTCCTATAAGGTCACTATGAGTCGAAATCGACTCAGCGCCAAGCATTTGGGTTTGTGGTTTCACGGAGTTTGCTGGATGACAAGTTCTGAAAGTCCAGATTGCTTATGAGGCACAAACATTCCTATCATCACTATCTTTAATATTTCAGGGAGAGGCACCTCTGTATAAGGAACAATGACAATAACCAATAAAAGTTGAACTACAATGACATGTAGTCATTGTGCTAAATTATAGGGGGGCTAATTCCCACACTGTACTACTGATGATACAGAGCAGTTGGATGGGAGAAAAGAGTAATCAAAAAGCTTCAGGAGGATAGACTCAGAAAGAAGTAGAGGGAGAGACATTAGCAAGCAATTTATTTAAATTCCCTTAGTTTCCAACAGCAAAAATTATTTTTAAAACTGATTCCCCATGGTATTTGAGGAATGTTTGGTCATGAACATGAAAATGGCTGAGTTAAACTGGGTCCTTCTGGGGAAGTATAAACACAGAGAGACCCAAGAAAAACTTAACATTTTAAAAACTCACATGGAAGAAGGAAGATATAGAAATGTTTCCAGTTGCAGAAAACAATCATTTCTTTGGAAAGATTTTAAAATGCCACCAGACTGGGTAGAGCATTAGTAGATGACCTTTGTCCGGGCAACTATCTTTACCAAAAAATACCCAAACAGTAAATGGCTTTTTATATAGGCATGGGCTCTAAGCTTTCTGTTCTAAGTGTCTACAGAATCTAATGGCCAAAAAACCCAACAAAATGATAAATACCATCCAGAATGATACTACAGATCAGTGGTTCGCAACCTTCCTAATGCCACAAGCCTTTAAGGTGAACTCATGTTGAGGTGACCCCCCCCCAACCATAAAATTACTTTCGTTGCTACTTCATAACTGTAATTTTGCTATTGTGATGAATCAGGCGACCCCTGTGAAAGGGTCATTTGCTGCCCAAAGGGGTCGCGACCCACAGGTTGAGAACCGCTGCTTTGGATCATCAACTACAAAACAAGTCTCCCAAAGTCAGTCTCACCTGCTCCTTTCCTATAACAACAGACTACCAGGTTACCAAGTCAGGCAAAGCTCCAAAGAATTAATAACACCTGGAATACTTACATTCTTGCTCTCTCGCTTCAAGGAATTTACAAGGGACTTATATAAGCCCCCAAGGGGACAACTAAAGTAATTAAAACAAAGGAAAGACTTAAACACTTGAAGGCAAAATAACAAAAGGTTTCCTCATGTTATCAAGAGACAGGCCTGTAGTCCACAAAATTAGTTACTAAGAAACGGAAACAACCACTAAAGATCACATGGGGGAATTTCAGACAAATAAAATGTGCCATTTTTGTAACAGGGGCATGAAACCACTTATTCCAAGAAATGGTGGTAGAAGTATGACTAGGTTCACGAAGTTAGATGCAGGGGGTGGCTTTAGGGAAATCTGGAGGGGTCTATGGAACAGGATTTCGGGTCCAAACACAGACAAGCTGGCAGACCCCATCCTGTGGGGTCCAAACAGTGCAGGGCAGAGAAGCAGCCAGCATGGGTGTAGGCTGATCGTACCATAGGGACTACTGCCTCTTTTCTCAGGCTGCACTTGGAAAATAGGATTTCCCTTTATGTGTTGCTCACAGGAAAAGTGGATACTTGCTCTCTCACCATGCCCACCCTCAGAACCTGCCTTTCCACCAAGTTTCAGACCGCCAGGTACTTTGCTCGGACTATGGCTAACGCCTGGAACACCCTTTCTTCCTCTCATCTTCTCCCACCGACCACAACTCACTGGCTGCTCCCTTCAGTATCTTGAAGGCTGTGCACAACACCAGCTTCTCTGAAAAGGCTTCAAGGGCAACAGAGCACACCACACGAGGTTTCTCAACAGACTAAAGGGAACCTGCTGTCATTGAGTCAATTCCAACTATGGCAGTCCTGTAGGTATCAGAGTAAAACGGTACTCTACTAGTTCTTCATTGGCAGATACTTTTAAAGTAGAATATTTAGGCCTTTCTTCTGTGCCTGGACTTGAACCTAACATTTTCACTTAGCCACCAAGTTTGTTAACAGTTTGTCCCACTGTGGTTGGAAGGTGTGCCAGCCCCCCCCCACTAATCATGGGTTCGACAGGCACAATTGTACGGTTGAGGTATATAAATATTATATTAAAGTCATCGAGAGCATGAGAGATTGAAATAATGGAGTCAGACACATTCCGTGGTAGCAGTGCTCACCTCAGCCCTGCTTGGTGGTCCACAGGAGAGAGGGGGAAGGGAGGAGGACAAGGGGAAAGGGAACAGGGGAGTGAGTTCAGGAGAGGAGAAGGGGAGCTGACATGACGTCAAGGGAGCAGAGAAAGAGCGGTCTGTTGCTAACGCAGGCCTATATATCTTTGGGGTTGTGCAAGCCCACTAATTACAGGTAAAGACATACGTCACAGGAAGTGGTTGCACTATAGGTTATACAGCAATGAGAGGGGGACAATCTAGGGACATACACGCAATAGGAAGAGGAGGGACTGGGGGTATACATATGACAAAATGGGCGGATCCTAGATTCAGGATGCCAGCTTAACTGAGCCAGTTTGACCTGTTCCCTAGCTCAACTGATAGAGACCATTATCAGTAGGGTATAAACCCCACCTACAGGAACCAAGCTAATGGTCTGAAGCCTCTTGGGAGAAGTAGCCTATTGTCCCCAGCAGCAGGGAGCAGGCCCTCCTGTGGTAGGAAGAGACAGCAGTCTGGCAGCTGATTGCCTCAAGGGAAGTAACTTTTAACATTAGCTGTAAGCAGTGTCCTAAGTCTAACATATTTGGGGGAGACGACTTGGGAGAAATCTTTCTGTTTCCCACACCCCACCTAGGCACTCCATACTTGGCCTAAACCAAATCCAAACTCACTGCCATTGAGTTGAGTCTGACTCACAGTGCCCCTATAGGAGAGGACAGAAATGCCCCTGTGGGCTTCGGAGACTGTAACCCTTTATGTGACTAGAAAGCCTCATCTTTCTCCCACGAAGGGACTGGTGGTTTTAAGGTGCTGACCTTGCAGTTAGCAGCCCAACATGTAACCACTCCCACTGTGGCATCTTATGATGCTTCAAGTGGCAAGAAAAAAAAAAATCTATACTCCTTGGTGGGTATGCAGACAGAGATTTCCCACCCTTACCGCTCTTTTCCCCTTCACCAAGTCCGGAAGGATGGGGATTCCACTGTTTTTGTTTGTAGATGTATTACCAGGGCCTGAAATAATATCTGAAATATAATCGGTACTCAAAAGGTCAAATGAGTGAATAAATACTCATTCTGAAATTCCAGATAAAGAATAGCAGTGTGTGAAATCAGGGGCCCACAGAGACAATCAGAAGAACAACTACCAAAAAAGGGGGGAGAGGTAGTAGTTTGAGAAAAGGCACCTCAATAAAAAAAATGTTAATTTTCAAAAAGTTTGAAGCTGAAGATTTAAGAAACCAAGAGGCCCCAGAAACACATGCAAATCTAACTAGCCCTGAAAGTCATAAGTCAACAGAATTATCAATGGGTTTTCTACAGTTTACAAAACACACACACACACACACACACACACACACACACACACACACACACACGGTAGTTTCCTTTCCTCTACATCCATTGATATCCTGTTTGTGACCTTGTCCCAAGTTGAAATCATGAGACTTGCCTGCTGATATGATAAAGCAGCGACAAATTCCAATCTGTGCTTTTTTAGCTGCTCCAAAGGTGGCTTCATCAATGAGGGCACTTCAGTAAGTTCAGGAAGGAAGAGAATGATTTGTCTGCATATCCGGCCAACATAAATCTCAGCTGTATCTGGCATGAACAGTCCCCCTTTCAGTGGAGTGGGAGGCCTGCTTCCAGCTGGGCTTGTTTGTGTTTTAGTTGCAAAGTCACCAAGACCTCCAGGGAAACAAAGCAACTGGGTTTTTGTTTTGTTTTGTTTTATTGAGTCAAGCTTGCCAGGGACATGAAGCTGAAGTCTGCCCACTGTGTTCTTATGCTTCCCTCATATACAGCCAAAACTTCTAGCCAACGGCTCCATTTCTTCTCCCAAATGAGCTAATATTCTGTAGCCTGGTAGCCACGACTCAGTTTATAACCTTGGGCTTCTAGATCCAGTAAGGAGATTTTTGCTTATTGTAAGTAATGTTTTCCCTTCAAAGATCAGTTTTGATATTTGAGGGATATTAGTTTTTAAGAAGGTCATTCAGAAAACGGGAGTAAAGAGACTTGCCCTTTCCTTTCTAGTCTGGGAATAAACATCTGGATTTTCCCCACCTCTGGTTTCAGTTTCCTGACAACACTGAGCATGTGATGTGGACCCAATTCAAGGGGAACTACAAGAATCCAGGGTTTCACCCAAAAATTAGAAACCCATTTATTTCTCTGTTTCACTGTTTCTTGTGACTCTCAGGTCAGCTGTTAGGGCCTCACTGGAACGAGAAGGCTCAGGCTAGGAGGATTTCGAGAAATAGGGCCCTTGCAGCACAGAAAACCAAGCTTGAAGATTACCTTTTTCTTTGGAGGAGGGGCGGCCATCTGAGCAATCTTGAGAAACTTTCAAAATGCCAACTGAACTGACTTTCAGGGCCCCTCTGCATGAGCATGTCTGAGACTTGGCAGGAAAGAGGTGAAGAGAAAACCATTGAGCTACTTTAGCTTCCATGCTGCTCCGAGCTGGGGCTGGCAAAGGAGACACCCTGGGGAGTGTGGCAGAAGGCACTGCCAGCCCTGTTCACAATGCCAAGTGAGTACAGTGCTCGCCGCCCCAAAGGGCCTGCATGAACCCTCCGCTGCTCTGTCACTGCATGGACAAAATCCCAGAACTCTTAACACTTGTGCTCCACTGTGTGTGCAAGCATTTCCATGGAAAAGTGCCAGCAAGTTTGTTCTGAACAATTTTAAGAAATCTATTTTCCCATGAGTTTGTGAAGCCCCCTTAGATATAATAAGCTCAGACACGTGCAACTAACAAAACACTTCCTTTTATTGCCTTTTACAGATAGCGGAAGAGCAAAGTCGGGAGGAATGGACATCTTAAAAAGTGGATGCTTTTGCATGTCTGAAATTGTCAAGATGGTTTTTCTCCAAACTCTGGCTCTCTCGCTGGACTTCATTTTCCTGACCCAATGGACCTTGCCTGGCCACGGTTCTTTCGGGGAGGCTTTAGAATAGGGTGACCATATTCTAACCGAACTATCATTTGCCTTGCACAAAATAAAAGCCCTCCGTCATGATTTTCACTCAGGGTTTCTCAGGATGAGTTTCCAGATCTCTGCTGCTCTAAATTTCGTCCCAAGTATATAGGCCCCAAGCCCCTGTTGTCCAAAGTCCTTAACCAAAGGGAGCATCAGAGAGCAAATTTTCCAGAACTTGACTTGAAAACCGCATGCTCCCAACCTTGGAGAGCGCTTCCAAAATCTCTTGGAAAACGGGCTGGAAACAGAATGGAATTTCCCCACACACTTTCTGAAGCCCCTTCCTATTTACAAAGAGGGTCTTTGCAGACACAATGAAGGTACCATGGGGTCATCAGGCTGGGAGCTCTTTCAATATAACTGGTGTCCTTATAAGAAGAGAAGCGATGTACACGCAGGACGACAGACAGAAGCCAGAGAGATGCATCTACAAGCTCAGGGACACCGAGAGTCTGCAGCCACACGAGAAGTGAAGAGAAAAGCAGGGAACAAATGATCGCCGGAGACTCTTCAGAGAACCCATGGCCTGGCTTGCTGACACCTTGAGTTTAGACTTCTATCCTCCAGAACTATGAAAGAATCAAATTCACCCCGTTTGTGGTACTGTGCTACAGGAGCCCTATGAAACTAACACAGACACCTTCTCAGACTGTAACCCACACGGAAGAGAAAGGCCCCACCCAGCAGCACATTTTGCTAAATCAGATTTGGTGGATGGAGTCAGTTAGAAGACTCTCTGGATATGAAATATGTAGATTGGGTTTAAGGTTAAGTGCAAGAGTAAGTGCAACAAGCAGCTGACGGGGCAAAAGGAAAGACCCTCGCACCGTTTCACAGAAAGGCACCCGTGGTCAGTAAAGACACCAACTATCCTGTCCCATTTTGCACTCTTCCACTGGCCTACCGAGCTCCTCCCACGTGCTCAACACTAGGTATTCGATACTGGACCAAATTGCTCTAGACGCCCAAGGCCCAAGGAGAAACATTTCAATATCACATTTTTATTCCTATCTCACTCGTCTTTTCTTAACTTTTGTGGTGGTTGCATAATTTCATGTGAACCTGAAGATAGATAATCGTGTAGGGGTGGTTTTTAACCAGTTAATCAGGTCGCAGCCTAATGGTGCCTCCTTGTGGGGGTCGCCTTCTCATAAGAAGGGCCCTGGGGAAACCTCCTCCTCTCTCTCTGCCTTCACCTCCCTGATGGCTGACCTTGATGGCGGCCAGAACCCTGGAAATGCGTCCACCGCCATTGGATCACAACTTTGCACCTACCAGCCTGCGATCTTCTATATGCATTCTATCTCATTGGATGTGGCTGTGTGAGTCTGAAGAGGGACTTATGGACCAGTGTCGAACTTATGGACTTGGGTTGGACTGGGCTGTTTTCCTGATATTCAATCACTTCTTGATAAAAGGTCTTTCTTACACATATGAGTGTCACTGGATTTATTTCTCTAGTCAAACCTGCTTAACACAACTCTTCTGCCCAGGACTTGCTAGCCTGGTGAAGGAGCAAAGCCTGGATACACACTCATCCGACAGCCCCACAACAAAACATAAATTCTTTGTTACTCTTTCTACACAGAGTTGATAGCCTAGATCTACTTCCCTTGCATCTGGACCATAAGTAACAGAGTGCCATGGAAGTGAGACTGTAAGACTTCCAAGGCTGGATCACCGTACAGGCTGGGACACTCGCTTTTGGAACTGTGAGTTATCACGGAAGACATCTAGTGACCCTGAGGCCACTGTGCTATGAGGAAGCTCGGGCCCCATGGAGAAGTCGTGGGTAGGCCTTCTAGCCAGTACTCTTAGTCTTTGAGTGCTCTCAGGCCAGACCCTAGTCATAGGAGTCAATAAGCCTTCTGATGATTCCAGCCCCCTACCATCTAGTAACCCCCAGCCTTTGAGTTTTCCCAGCTCAGGCCCTAGACTTCCTGCAAGAAAGGAAAAGTGGTCCTTACTATATCCTGAAACGGAGGCAAACTGTCCCCACTATGTTCTTCCCAAATACCTGGCCCAGAGAATCCATGAGTATAATAAAATGTTGTCTTGAGGCAGTATGTTACGCAGCAATAGTAAATGAAATAGATGACAAATCAAGGGTGGTGATAGATTAGAAAGTGAGAGAGCCAAGGATGGACCTCGGTGTATATTTTGCTCAACATCTTACAGGGCTGGGATGAACACAAAGAGTGTTTAAGCAAAGTCTTCAACTCCCTGTCTTTCCAGAATCAATGTATTGGAGATTTACTCTAGCCTGCTCTTCCCTACAGGGGTTCCATCCTGAATCCCTCTGTAGCCCTTTGTTCCCTACTCTCACACTCGCAGGGGCCACCGAAAGCCCCTTCCAGAGGCTGTTTCAAGGCTGTTCTGCTCATTGTTTCTACAGCCAGGCTTCCCGGCCCTCTACTCCAGACCCACACTTATGCCACCACCCTACCCAAGCCTTGTTAGTAATGCTATGACCTTTAGCACCTAAGAGAGTGGGATCTGCTTTCTGCCCCTGCAGGGCTGGTGGGGAACTCTGAGAGTTCTAGAGCACTCCAGGCCCTGGAAGAGCAAGAGTGCCTACAATCTTACTTTCCCTAGACTCGAAGGACTGGACAGTCACATCATAGCACTTTCCTCTTCCTCTGCCCAGCTACCACTGATAAGACTCAGAACCAGTAACAGGGAGTAAATCCCCAATATATTTATTCTGGAAAGGTAGCGAGTGGGATATTTTGTTTAAATACTCTTGGTGTTCGGCCCATCCCTGTAATATTATTGTTTAACAAAACAGACACTCAGGTCAAATCTTGTCTCAATAACTTTCTAATTCTTTGACTTAGAAGATTCAGTTAAACTTTCAAATGTTAGCGTTGAGTCACTTGAAATGGGGATAACAAGGACCTACTTGTCCAGCTTACAAGGAAGGAATCCAGGCAATGAAATAGGTGCAAAGTTACAATTCAGCTACTTTTAATGATGGGAACAAATGTCTCTTGTGACTTACCCCTTGTAAGACTTGAAAGCTGTCATTGTTGGGTGGTGGGTCTTGATCTGGGTCAACGCCAACTCTATAAATCACCAGGGAGAAACAAAAAGAGAAAACCAGAAAGCATTAACTTGGACCAGGGTATCCGTGTTACCTAAATGTAGCCCAAATGCTGATCAGCTCCCCAAAGCAGGAGTGGTTAGCTGAAAGGAGAGAAAGGTCGTCATGCAACAGTCATAAGAGAGGCCTCATATCACACCAAATCCCAGAGGGAGGATAAGTACTATCCTGAATGTTTAGACCCTAAGCAAACAAAAAAATCAAAACAAAAACTCACTGCCATTGAGTGGATTCTGACTCATAACAACCCTATGGGTCCAAGTGCCTTTATGGGTTTCTGAAACTGTAAATTTTTATGGGAGCAGAAAGCCTCATCTTTCTCTCAAAGAGCAGCTGGTGTATTCACACTGCTGACCTTGAGGTTAGCAGTCCAATGTATTCACCACTACACCACCTGAACTGCTACTGAAAAACAGTATACACAGACAGACAGCTGTCTTTGGAAAACAATATACACAGACAGTGGTCCATCTGCCTTCCCATCCTAGATGGCCCCAGTTATCTGCATGAGAGTCTCACAGTACTGGGCCTTTTCTTCTCTGTTTCTTCATTTTCTCCCTACTTTTATTTCCCTGGTATTTGAGTATCAACATTCTCATATGTGCAGGGGGAAATTTAAAAATTGTAGGGAACCTTTGTATGTCCTCAACCTAGAGTCTATCATCATTTTACTGCATTCCTTTATTATATACATATTCACCAATTTCTCTATTAACCATCTTATTTTTTTGGATGCATCTCAAAGTTACAGGCATCAGTCCATAATCCTTCAATACTTCAACATCCATATCATTAACTAGAGTCTTGCGCTGCTTTTAGTCCTGGTGCTCCCAGTTCTGCAGCAAAAAAGGACTTAAGATTTCACACAATTCAGATCAACTACTGGAGACCAAATAGATAGAGCCAAGTGGCAACATAATTTATAACAAATTTCATAAAATCGCCAGGGTAATTGTCTTGACCTAGTAACATTCCAGCTACTGCTAGACATATTTGTTAATGTTGTATCCCTTTGCCATGCTCATTCTGAGGCAGAGAATTGCAACATAGATGATGGGGGATGATTGAGGAGAAAACAAAGATGCTAAGCAAGTCCTATCTATTACCTCATTATCTCCAGTGTAGCAAAAATGGACAGTAGCACAAGAGGTGGACAGAAAATACAGCTTTTAGAAGGTTAGGTCTAATTTGAGCTTGAAGACGGGTACTGATTCCTGTAAGCAGACAGTAGCACAAAGGCCTTTATAAATACCTAACTTTTTTCTCCTCTTCCTCTTCCCCACTGGTGATGTCCAGGCTCTGGTTGAGAAAACAGGCTGAACAGAAAAGGGCAGAAGACACTGCAGATGTGCCTACTGCCCTCTCAAAGCCAACCTCTACTCTCTCATCCTCACAACGGCACACTGCCTGGAGACTCTCAAGCAAAAAAACCTCAGAGAACTGGTGACATGAAAACCATCCAATTCAGGGATCAAGGGGCTGCCCATGAAAGTCGTGCCCCAAAGTATCCCCAAATGTTTAATATATAAAAGTGGTAGAGCAGAGGTTCTACATTAGAATTTCTAGCTATTGTTCTTTAACCCCCACCTGTTTTTAATCTCTTCATGTACAGTAGTTGGAAAATTTCTCAATATGTTTTATCAGTATTTGTAAGATCAACAGCTAGGAATCCCAGTATTGGGCCTTGTTCTGTGGAGTCTAGAGGAACACAAAGCCTCTCCATCCCAGACTAATTTACTCCATATTTAGCTCCCGGCCACCAGGGGCACGTGACTCAAGCATCTCTCCAAAGGCCTCTCAGAACACCAAGGACACGGAAGCCCTCACTCTCACCACAGAGAGGCTATTGTGAGACAGGGCAACACAGTTACGTGGACAGAGGAGTGGTCATTAAGTAGCGTACGGCCAATAGTATGGCAGCTCTGCTCTGCCACCAATAATCTCTCCGTTCTGCATTGTGCATTTTGAACATGATAAAATGACTTTATCGGCCTAGAAGAACAAGGAAGTGTGTGGGCAGAGGAAAAAGGTTTAAGTGTGTGCCCTGCTTATGCTGAAAAAAAAGTTATAAGAGACACCTACACCAAGAAAGTCAAAATGATAGCTGTGGATAAACAAGACTAAAGGGATATGCAAACCAGAGTACACTTTGATTGGATTTTGAATCCAATCCAAGTGTATATGCACAAAAACTCCTTAATCTCCTTTAGAGTGATAAAAGGGTTATGATACAAAAGAGACTGAATCACTAGGAGACACAAAGTAGGGGCACAAAGTCATGATGTCTGTAATGTACTTCGACATGGTGACGAGAGAGAGAGAGAGAGAGAGAGAGAGAGAGAGAGAGAGAGAGAGAGAATACAGCATGATTTTTTTAAATGACAAAATGTTAACAACTAGTCCATCAAGGTGATGTATTGGTTCTGCACTGGGCTGCTAACCACATGTCAGCGATTGAAAACCACCAGCTGTTCTGCAGGATAAAGATGAGGGCTTCTACTCCTGTCCAGAGTTAGTCTTGGAAACCCTCCGGGCAGTTCTACTCGGCCCTCTAGAGTCGCTGTGAGGCTGACTCAATGGCAGTGAGTTGTGATGTACTGCTGCACATTTCAAATGTTTCACCATTAAAAAATATGAAACCTTGGTAAAAAATACTGCTAAATTGCTATCTCTGCAATCTAATCTAATACTGATGATTCAGGATCTCATATTATTTCAGGGCCTGAAAACCACAAATCATAATCCATAGGCATAATGTACTACAATAGGGTTAATGAAATATGATACTAGTAATTATGTGGCTTTCTTTTCCAGGTAAGTCCTAGAGTCATATTCTAATACTAAAGGACAAGAGGAAAAATGCTAGTTGAGACAAACAGTTAACCAAAATGCAATCCATGGAGGCATTCTCAGATCTGGTTGTGCCTGTCCCATGGAAATCTGTAGTTTTGAGGAAAATCTTAGCCAATGTTCCCTTTCCTTGCTTATACCATCCTTCTGCTGTGGAAGTTCAGCCCCTTGGGGCAGCCACTTACTATCAACCACCTTTCTAAGATGTATCCCAACCTTCTGACAACACTGTACCCAAAAGGACCTGCTGGGTCCTATCATCGAACAGGGGAACGTGGAACGGCCCTGTAGGACAGAATATTGGATGTCCCTCCTACTGGTATAAGTGCCGAGGAGATTTCCTGAAAAAGGAAGTAAAGATCTGTTTCCCAGCTAGCGCCAACTTTTTAAAGAGGAAACAGACTAGTGGCTGATAGATACAAATAGATTCTTCTGTGATTACTTTCCCAATTAAAGGCTATCTACTTTAGGGTTATTTAATAATTACTTTAAAGGATCACTGGTAGTACAACAGTTAAACATTTCATTACTGAAAGGTCGGTGGTTTGAGCCCACCCAGATGCTCCAAGGGAGAAAGATCTGGTAACCTCTTCTGAAGATTACAGCCTTGAAAACTCTACAGGGCAACCCTCCTCTCTCCTATAGGATTGCTATGAGTCAGAATGCACTCAATAGCACCTATCAATTACAATTACTTTACTGGTAGGACTGAGGAACCCTTTATCCCAAGGATGACACTAGGCCCTGTGACTCCCCATGAATAGCCCCACCTTGACTGATGCACCGCCCAGATCCAAACTGGTCTCTGTGAAGAAGAGACAAAGCAATGGAGTAGGGTACTATGTTGGGCAGCAATAAAGTGCAGCAACAGTGGTTTTATTATGTCGCGGGGACTTGAGTGTCCCTTAACTTTTTGAAATTTCTAATTCCAGACAAACTGTCTACAATATAGATTTCTCTACTGACTTACTATGTGTTGTTTTTATCCTGCACACTATAATAAACCTAGAACTCGTACCATTATAGCATATCATAATTTACCATTCTCCTGATAATCAGGGTTGAAGTCATCAGAGCACACAGTTTTCTGAAATGAGCTAAATCGTCTTTTCTTTCATTGGGAATGAGACAAATGTGGAAAGCCCACACTGAGAAAATCGACCAACTGATGAACTGATTCAGGAATGAATAAAGATCATTTAAAATGCACACATTCAAATTAATAGCCACATAAAATGCTATACAATCTCAAATTTTGTAGGTGTTTTATTTTCATCACTATATATTTAATTTGAATGATTCCATTAAATGTAAATACTTCAACTATTTTCACGTGTGTCATAGTGCCTTTATTGCACCCATCTGGGGTGTGGTGGTTTCTTGAAATCCAGGCCCCACCGCATGTATCACTCACTGTTTTCACCATCGTTGGCAAGCAGTGGAATATTGTAACAATGCTAAAAACAGAGTTCAAGCTTAGCTAGCATTTGCTTTACCTACCAGGATGGGGAATGGGATCAGAAAGAAAGCTTGGTGACTAAAGATATGGAAAGAAAGAAGGTTTTATTCTGATTGCCCTATTGTTACCACTCGTCGATGTAACCGTATCATAACTTGACTGGACACTGAAAGACAAACTGCATTAGAGGAATGGTTATCTTCTTGGTTAAAAAAACCACCCTGCTTTTCATTATCTTCGGATAAGGTACAAATACACAAATATATAAGTTAATAAATAAAAACAGCACGGCACGTGTTTAATTAAGATGGTGTAGGCCATACCCTGAAGCCACAGCTGAAATGGAAAATTCAAGTTATTTTTAAAAAATTAAAGCCTGATTTTTTAGCTCATAAGCAGAATATTGTGGGGAAAGCACACCTCTGAAAATGGGCAGTTTTACCCGAAGAAAATACTAAGCAAATCAGGTTCTTTATGTAAACAGCACATTGTCCCAAAGGAGGGGGAAAGGCGCATGATCTCAAGAACCCTGAAATACCAATCAACCAGAGAAAAGGTAGCAAAATGATTCGAGTTGACAGAATCGCCTGGCCCCTTGTTAAAAGTATATGCAAGGAAAGGGTAGAGGGTAGGTAGATGCACGCAGGAAAGAGTAAAGAGACAAATAGCATAAAGAGAAATACCCCCGGTTAGAAAGAAGACAAAAGCCAAGCCCAGCTCATTCTTTTTTGAGAACGCCCTTGTGTCACCTGAAGTACAGCCAGTGATGTTCATTCTGGTCCTCTTCGGAGTGCTCCTCAACGCCAACTCTGGGCAGCACAAGAAGGGAATGGGAGTGTATCAGGGACTGGGCAAGGTGGAAGCTCTGGAGACATGTCCTGGACCATGTCCATTAAAGAATTCACCATCTCACTTTAAATTCAAATCAATACCTTCTTTTAAACGTACCCTGACTCTCTACACCCAAAGATACAGAGAAGCTGCTAAATACAAATTTAAAGCCCCAATGTTAGGAGGCTGGTTAAATGAAGCTCTGAAGCAAGCTAGAAATGAAGATGTGCCTCTCAAAATACAAGGTAATCAAACCAGATGAAGAAAAGCAACCCATACAAACTGATGTACAGAATTTCTCAGGACTTTATTTCATAAAGCAAGATACATCCATCTACATTAAAAAATAGAGAAAATAAAAGGTTAATATGGAATGCCATTACAGAAAGAACCAAAAGTCCTATATTATGGAAAATTGCCATGATACAGATGAAAATGACCATTTTCCTAGACAAGTAAACCATGTTCCCCACAGGTTCATCCCAAAGGTCAACTTCTAGGGACGGGGGACTACGATCGCCACATTACAAACACAGGAAGAGCTCAACCACTACTGGCGAGGTAGCCCTAAGAGGGATAACTTGCCCTTCGTGGCAGTGAGAAAATCAACATAAAAGCTAAGTAAATCCACGTTTCTTAAACGTGAGAGCAGCAACGCCTGCTGACAGGCTCTACTTGACTAGCGCCCACTGGCATAAGTCACTTCTGTGAGCCCCACTCCTCTTCGGCACAGTCCACTGTCCTGTTCATATTTTGATTATTCTTCCTAAAAGACATGTTCCCACCATTTTTACAAACCTGTTGGTCTATCCAGAAAGCTGCTTATTACTATTCACCTTACTTTTATTTTATTCTCTCTCTTCTTCCCCCCACTTTCCCCAATCACTCATCTTTCTTCCCTTTTCCCCATTTCAACACTGTATGTTTTACAACGACTAGATCTCTTCACGTCACTAGACAGAACCAATAACGGCTATTCAACCCCAAATCTTAAACACTACTAGCTGTACCATAATGTTGAGGAAACATAGTCAATAACAGGAGACCCCCCAAATCAAGAAAATCAAGCAATTGAAAACCACAAAAACCCAAGGGAGTACTCTAGGGGTGAAAACGGCAAGGATGGCAAAACTTCAAAGACGAGAGGAAACGGATTGACGCCACGGCTGCAACAATGGGCTCAGGCATGGGGACAATTATAATGATGGTGCAGGACCGGGCAGTGTTTGTTCTGCTGTGCATACGGGTGCTATGGGTCGGAACTGACTCAGTGGCACCTAATAGTACAACAACAACAACAACAAAACTGTACACCAACAAGTTTGATCATCTATAGCATTGCTTCTCAACCTTCCTAATGCCCTTTCATACAGTTCCTCATGTGGTGGTGCCCCCCCAATCATAACATTATTTTTGTTGCTACTTCATAACTGTCATCTTGCTACTGTTATGAATCAGGCGACCTCTGTGAAAAGGTCATTCGACTCCCCACCACCACCCAAAAGGGGTCGTGACCTACAGGTTGAGAACCGCTGATCTATAAGAAATGGACAAATACCTAGAAAGACACCATCTATGCAAATTAATACAGCTGGATGTAGAAAACACAGACAAAGCCTCAACCAAAGAAGAAAGAAAGAAGGCCATCAAGAAACTTCCAACCAAGTAAAGCCCAGGGCTAAATGGCTTCCCAGAGGAATTCTATCAAGTATTCAGGGAAGAGATGTCACCAGTTCCACACTGACTATTCCAAAATATAGGAAAGGACAACAAAATCCAAAACTCATTCTATGAAGGGGGTCTAACCCTGATATCAAAACCAGGCAAAGATCCCATGGAGACAGAAAATCCCAGACCTATATCCCTCAAGAACACAGACGAAAACAAACAAAACACAACAACAACAAAAAACCACAACAAAATTCTGACCAATAGAATCCAACAACATATCAAAAAAACAATTCATCATGACTGAGTAGGATTCATACTAAGGATGCAAGGATGGTTCGACATTAGAAAAACAATCAGTGTAACCAACTACATAAACAAGATAAAGAATAAGAACCAAAAAAAAGAAAAAAGACAGAAAAAGAACCACATGATCACATCAATAGATGGAGGAAAAAAATCATTTGACAATATTCAACATCCATTTCTAATAAAAACAGTAAGATAGGAATAGGAATAGGAGGGAAATTGGTTTTTTTCAATCCTTTTATAGGGGCTCATGCAATTCTTATCACAATCCATCTATCCAGCCATTGTGTCAAGCACGTTTGTACATATGTTGCCATCATCATTCTCAAAACATTTGCTTTCTACTTGAGCCCTTGGTATCAGCTCATTTTTCCCCTTCCTCCCCACTCCCCCCTCCCCCATGAACCCTTGATAATTTATAAATTATTATTATTTTGTCATATCTTACACCATCCGACGTCTCCCTTCACCCACATCTCTGCTGTCCGTCCCCCAGGGAGGAGGTTATATGTAGATCCTTGTAATCTGTTCCCCCTTTCCAATGTACCCTCCTGGCATCGCCACTCTCACCACTGGTCCTGAGGGGTTCATCTGTCCTGGATTTCCTGTGTTTCCAGTTCCTATCTCTACCAGTGTACATCCTCCGGTCCAGCCGGATTTGTGAGGTAGAATTGGGATTATGATAGTGGGAGGAGGAAGCATTCAAGAAGTAGAGCAAAGTTGTATGTTTCATCGTTGCTACACTGCACCCTGACTGGCTCATCTCCTCCCCGCAGCCCTTGTGCAAGGGGTTGTCCAAATTCTTCAACATAATAAAGGCCATATAAAAAAATTCAACAGCCAATTTCATGCTCAATGGGGATAAACTGAAAACATTTTGCCAGAAAGTGGGAATTAGAAAGGGTGCCCCTTATAGTCACTCTTATTCAACATCATGCTGGAAGTCTTAGCCAAAACCATTGGACAATAGAAAGGAACACAATTGGGCAAAGAAGGTGTAAAATTCTTGCTATTTGAAGGTCATACGATGTTACAGAGAGAGAACCACAAAAAGAGTGTTGGAAACAATTGAGGGATTTAGTAAAGTAGCAGGATGCACAATTAATAAACAGAAATCAATTGGATTCCCATATACCAGTGAAAAGAGCTCAGAAAAAGTCATCAGTGGAAGACTCAGGAATAAACCTAATGAAAGAAACAAATGACATTTACAAAGAAAAGTTATAGAACAATATTACAAGAAATCCAGAGACCTACACAAATGGAAGAATATCCTGTGTTCATAGACAATATTGTGAAAATGCCAATACTGCCTAAACCAATCTACAAAAAAAATACAATTCTGATTTAATTTCCAACTTCATTCTGAAAAAAAAAAAAAGGAAAACCTAATTACCAACTTCATATGGATAGGGAAGGGGCCCAGAATAAGCAAATAACTTCTCCAAAAAAAGGAACAAAATAGGAAACCTTGCACTACCCAATCTCAAAATCTACTACATAGTCACAGTAGCCAAATCCGCCTAGTGGTGTACAATGATAGATATGATACATAGACCAATGGAACAGGATAGAAATCCATAAGTAAAAATATCCACCTACAGGCAACAGGTTTTTGACAAAGAATCAAAAAACATTAAATGGGAAAGGGATAGCCTCTTCAACAAATGCTGCAGAAAAATTGGGTCTCTAACTGCAGAAGAATAAATAGGGCCCAAACCTCTCTTTATGCACACAAATAAACCCAAGATGGATCAGAGAGCAGATTTACCAAATGTAAACCCCAGAGCCATTATAATCATCAATGAGAAAATTGAGACCAACAATGATGTGCCAATAGAACTGTAAAAAATTGAGACAAACTTAAGGGCCCTATTGCAGGCATACAGAGACTATCACATATAATAAAAGGAGTATACACAGTGAAAGACAAAATAGATGACCGAGATCTATTAAAAATATAAAACTTACGCACGTCAAAAGACTTCATCAAAAGAGTACAATGAGAGCCCAAAGACTGGGAAAACATCTTTAACAATGACGCAGCGGACAAGGGATTACCAGTAATTACTGAAATTTATAGAACTCTACAACACCTGAAAAGGGGAAAAAAATCCACTTAAAAGGCAAGCAAAGGACATGAATAGACACTTCACCGGGGACAATACTTGAATGACTAACAAACACATGAGGAAATGCTCTGGCTCACTAGCTAGCCAGTAGGTGCAATGGAAAACAACAATGAGTTATCACTTTACACCCACAATGATAGCCCAATTTAAAAACAACAACAGCAACAGAGAACAACAAATGCTGGAGAGGATATGGAGAGTTGGAACGCTTATACACTGCTGGTGGACTTGTTAAAAGGTATGGCCATTGTGGAAAATAATATGGTGCTACTTCAAACAACTAATAATTGAAAAACCAAACGACCCAACAAAACCTTGCTGGGCATACGGCCCAGAAAAATAAGAGACAGAACATGAACTAACATATGCTCTCCCATGTTCACTGCAACACAATTCACAAGAGCAAGAAACTGGAAACAGTCAAAATGCCCATTAGCAAAATAATGAATAAAGAAACTATGGTACATACACACAATGGAATACTATGGACTTAGAAACCATTAGTCTGACTGACGTTAGTCGATCACAACACCAAGAAAAAGGTAGGCTTCTGCTCTCAGGTTATGTAATCTAATCTGATCTCCCAAGTAATGAGGTAGAGAGCCTACCTAGTGCCCGTGAACCATATATCACTTGCTTTATATGTACACCTTAAACCCCACTACAACAGAGGAGATCTTACTCAGCTGAAATCAGTTTCCCAAGATCGAGGGAGAAGACCATTCAGTTGCTGCCATACAACATTGTGCTAAGATTACCCCAAACTAACAGACACTCCTACAAGAGTGATAAGCAAACCTTACTGGA